GGGCTGGAGAGATGGCTCACAGGTTAAGAGCACTGACTGCTCTTCCAGAGGTCCTGAGTTCAATTCCAAGCAACCACACTGTGATTCACAACCATCCATAATGAGATCTGGTGCCCTCTTCTGGCCTGCAAGAATACATTCAGGCAGAATGTTGTGTACAATCTTTTTTTAAAAAAATCACGTTCTTTTTCTTTTCTGAGTTTTGTGTAGCCCAGGCTGACCTTGAATCTCAGACACATCTGCCTGCCTCTGCCTCTGCCTCTGCCTCTGCCTCCCAAGTGTTGGGATTGAAGATGTGTGCCACCACACCTGGATCTCTCCTAAATGACAACTTAATTTGGTTGAAACTTGTTTTTCTTAAGTTTCAAATTGTATTTGTACACCCTGTATTCAATGTTGCAATTTTCTAGACTCTATTAGCCCCAGTGTTTGAATAAAGAGCATACATTATGATGCCTGATGCAAGAGTAGGTTTTCATCCTATGTACACTTGCACATTTTTGCAAGTACACTTTTGCAGATTTTATATTGTCCCCATCTTATTTAAAGGTCTGTTTGTATTTTGCATATATATGTATATGCATATATATACATATATATATGTACATGTATGTATCCTAAATATATATGTGTGTGTGTGTGCACCATGTGTGTGCAACATTCAGAGGTCAGAAGCATTGGGTCACCTGCAGCCGGAGTTAAGATAGCTGGGAGCCACAATGTGGGTGTTGTAGATTGAACCCAGGTCTTCTGAAAGCACAGCAAGTACTCTTAATCACTGAGCTATCTCTCAAGCCCAAACTCTCCGTTTATTTTTGGAGAAAGTATCCACAGAAAAGTACATAAGAAACTCTAGTCATGAGAAAAGCAAGACAAGGTGGATTTTCTTGTCTCCTTGAAAGTATTTCGGTGAATCAGATGGGGCAGGTATTCTGGAACTCGGGAGTCACAGAATACTGAGTGTTAAACAGCTCAATTGGAAAGTTATCCGGGAGCCAAGGAAGACCACAGTTCACAGTGAGCGCAGCAGCTTACAGCCCTGTTTCAAGGGGAGGCTTCCCCTGCTCCAGCAGGAGAGGGCCTCCTCCACGAAGTTGCTACAGTTCAGCTCCAGTCCCCCTGCAGAGCCGAATGTAACAACTCTACTCTGTCAAAGGAATGTTTCCCCTAACTGAAGTGTTACAACTTTGCTCACTTTGTTCTGCCGCTGTTCCTCTCTGCATTTCCACCGCAAAAGCTCATTCAAGGGTTTTATTGGAAGAATCCAGGAGAGTGGCGGGGGGGGCAGACACAGGGTTTATAAAGGGATTCTTAGGGGGGGCAGAGTTTTTCTAGGAGGGGGGCGGGGACTGGTCAGATTTCAATCCCTGGGCTCCGACTGGCTAGATCTCCTGTTCAGGGATTGGCTAGTTTTCTGCATAGCCTAGTTTAGGATCAGATTGGGCTCTGGTTTCAGGGCCAAAGTGTGTTTCTTTCACTGGTCCTTTTTAGCCTTTTGGCTCTAGTTTTAGGGCCAGGGTGTATTTCTTTCACTGACTGATTCCAGGGACAAAGTGTGTATCTTTGGTACTAGTTTCAGGGTCAGGCTACATTTCTTTGGTTCGGGTTGCAGGGCCAAAGTGTGTTTCTTTGGCTCTGCTCAGAGTGTGTTTCTTTAGCTGGTCCCTTTTCCCTACACTCCCTTTCCCAACTCCTCTCTGAGGGGCTGGAAGGCCATCCAGGAGCATTGTATCCATTAAACATGGGCTTTTTCTAATTCAGTTTCATTTGGTCTGATTTGGATTGCTGCATTGACAGAGAAGCTTATTAGGGTGTAGAAACTTTTTATCTGGAGGTTCCACTGAGGGGGCTGAATTTTTCCCTCACTATCCCAAGGCCACATGGTGGGAAAACACCCTTCTCCCCCACGCCTGCTCTCTGCTAGGCTAAGATCTGCTTTTGACTGGGTAAGTTGTTCTAAGTCATTGTCTTAGAGGTCTCGTGCGATTCCCAGGATATCCTGCCAAAGATGTGGCCGTGCCAGGTCCCTACCTGTTACTGTGACAAGGCCCTGCCTTGTCCAGTGGGAACTCTTCTTCACAAGACGCTCTGTTGAAGGGATTCTCCCACACTCTCCATTTTGACCCAAGGCCTAGCACAGTGGATGCATTGCGTCAGGCTTTGGGTTCCAGCATAGACTTGTGAAATGGGCACCTGCCATTCAAAGCCAGATCCCCAAACACTCTCGGGCTGCCTTTTACACATTCTTTTTAAATTGGGGCTATCTGACACCATATGTCTTGAGTGCCTGATTTCTCTGTGCACTGAGGCCTGGTCTCAATATGCCCTCAGCAATGGGACATGATGGCCACTGGGGGTAACTTTTAAACTTTTCATCCTCCGTGACCTTGAAATTTTTTCCTGGGGTGGGGGCAAGTGAACAGAATCCCCTTATGTCCACAGTTTCTGGAGGCTATGCTCCCACCCTTCCCTCAGTAGCCAGTGTCTCACAGCATCATGACGACGCCTCCAGATTCCCACCTATCTGGGAACTGGGACCCTGAAAATTCTGCCCTGACCTTGCTGCCCGAGACACTGGCCCCTCCCCTGCCCCCAACCGGCTCCTCCAGGGCCACCAGTTGCATTCAGTGGCCCACATTCCTCTCATTCCTCCCCCATCCACCTCTTCCCCTTCCTTCCCCTCCAAGATAAAGGTCAAGAGTAACAACTTCCTCCTCCTTACCCACCTTCCTCTTTTCCCCTTCCCCCTACTACCCCTCCCTAGCCTTCCACGTCATCTCCTTGTCCCCCTCTACACACTGACCTATACTTGACCTAGCTTCCCTAGCAGGAGCCACCATCTTAGCCACCTGCTTCATTTCTCAGTCAGCTCCAGATATTAGAAACCAATTAAAAACGTTGGGGAGGGGTCCCCAAACTCCCACACAGAAATTGGTGAAAATGTCTTTTAAAGTTTTCAATGCCCAAAAGGAGGAAGCCCAGTCCTCCCATCAGATAAGGTCATGCTCTGAGCCTCTAAGTCTTAGCAGTTGCCCTGAGGTCACAATGGATGCAAGGGAAGTTGACCACCAGGAGGCTCCACCCTGCTGGAGCTCAACAAGTGAACTGCACCAGGACCCTGCTACAAATGTGGGCAGGATGGTCAAGGTACTGCCCGGACTCTCAGCCACCACAAGGCTCTGCCTTGCCTGCCATCAGCCTGGACACTGGAAATCAGAATGCCCCCATGCAGGCTCGTCCTCTATGCCAGGCCACGGGGGTCCAGCCTCACCAACACTGGCAGCTGAGGCGGTGGCAGCCTTCGATCGACTCAGCTTTGTGGAGGACTGATGCAGCTCAGACTTGGTGACTCCCATTGCTTCCCAACCTAGGGTAACACTGCAGGCAGCGGTTAAGTCCATTACTTTTCTTGTGGTCACGGGACCTGCCTACTCTGTTTTGACCTCTCACTCGGGTCTCACAGTTCCCTCTCCAGTTCCTGTCATGGAACTGGATGGGACCCCCTCCTTCCCATTTCAGTAAAACCTGGGAAAGCTTAAGCTGAAAAAAGCTGTCTCCTGCTCATCTACTTAACCCTCAGATCTTTGATGACTAGGTTACCTGTAACTCATTAGTTAAGTTTTCTGCTAAAAATACAGACAGGCATGCTTCTTTTACAGGCTTCATAGTCAGGGATTAACAGATTTCAGATGTAACTTTCCAGTTTGAAATTTCCTCTGGTTGTTCTCTAAAAATGTTCATGCCTTTTAACCTAAAGCCATAGCCTTTTGCTATGACACCAAGATGTAAATCTGTTCCAGCTGTCTTACTCACACCTGCAATTCCCTGGGAGAAACCCTGCTTCTGTATCAAGAAATCTGGACTGTTAGTGAAAACTAACAGTCTCCAGAGCCCATTTTGACCCACTCATTTTCAAGCATATCTTGCAGGTTCACTCCACCTGCCTGGGCCAACGTCAACCCACAGAGTGTCCTCCAGATAATGCCAACACCTGCATCGGCTCCTGGGACATCCATGATGTACCACCTCTCAAGTCTTAAGTGGGCACCTCTTCAGGATACTTGGTCTGTCCAGCAGCTGGGACCCTCCACCCTCTGGTTTTCCAAAATGTCCCAGTGAAGGACCCATCTGCTCTCCTGTCTCACTCACCCTTCCTCTTCTGTACAACCAGGACACTTCTCCATTCCCCTTACTGTGGCAGTTATCACCCTTCCCACGGCTAGCCCCCTTCACAAGGCCAATGATAATCTATTTTCTCTCCTAGCAACCTGTCTTCTACCCCTCAAGGAACAGGTGCCTGAGGTCTACAGGATGGCAGCTAATGGAATGCTTCTTTACTCACACCTCCCGCTGAGTGTGAACCCAACAACTCCTGACTCTCCCCCTCCCCACATCATACCTTGTCAGCAGGGAAAAGCCAGACATGAACTGGTATCCATATACCCAAAGAATGGGATGCTATGGTGGAAGTTCCACCCAAACCCCCTCCCCTATCTCTCTCCAAACCCTGCTACATCTCAGAAAGCCTGCCAAATGATGACTCCTCCCCCAGAGATGCTCAAGACCACTCATGCAGGGTGTTTAAACTGCCCCCCAGAAAACAGACTCCCTTTCCCATCTCCTCTCTGGTGGACTGGAAGGCCATTCAGGAGTGTTGTATCCATTAAACATGGACTTTTTTGAGAAGAAAGAAAGAAAAAGAAAGAAAGAAAGAAAGAAAGAAAGAAAGAAAAGACAAAGGCTGGTGGAATGGCTGGAAGGGAAAGGAACTGTAACCAAGCTTGAGGGCCTGAGGTCCATCCCTGAAAAATCACACAACGGGAGAACTGACTCCAGAAAGTTGTCTGCTGATCTCCACATGTACACTAGGGCATGGGTGTATTCTTGCCTGGCACCCCATGTAAATAAATAAATAGATAAACAAACAAATTTAAGTAAATGATAAATATTTTCAAAAGCATGTTGATTACAATTACACATGGCTTACACAGGCATAAGATCTACCCACTGGGTTTCTTTTCATTGTGAGATTTTTCATGTCTTTGAAGGTATGAGAAATATGCAAATTCTTTCCCACACTGATTACACTTGTGGAATTTCTCTCTAGCAGTGTGAGTTTTTTCATGTATTTGGAGGGATCTGGAGAAAGAGAATGCTTGGCCACACTCTACACACACATATGGTTTCTCTCTAGTGTGAATTTTCTCATGCCTACAATAAGCACTAGAATGGGTGAAGGCTTTTCCACAATATTTGCATGCATAGGGTTTCTCACCAGTGTGAATTCTTGCATGTTTTCGAAGGTATGAGGAAAATGTAAATGCTTTCCCACACTGCTTGCAAACATAGGCCTTCTCTGCAGTGTGGATTCTTTCATGGTTGTAACAGTTGCCCGCACTAATGAAGGCTTTTCCACATTGCTTACATGAATAAAGTTTCTCTTCGCTGTGAATCCTTTCATGTTTGTGAAGGTTTGAGGACCGCCTGAATGCTTTGCCACATTGATTACATGTGTAACGTTTCTCTCGAGTGTGACGTCTTTCATGCTGGAGAAGTTGGTAAGAATGAATACATACTTTCCCACAATGTTTGCATATGTAACTACGCTCTCTTTTGTGAGTTTTTTCATGATTCTGACGGGCCATGGAATACATGAAAGTTTCACCGCAATGTCTACATTTGTAAGTTTTCTCTCTTGAGTGAATTCTCTGATGGTGGGCCAAGTGACTGGACTTAATGAAGGTTTCTCCACACTGCTTACACGCAAATGGCTTTTCTCTAGTATGGATCCCTTCACATATTTGAACATAACTTTCTTCCTTCAAGGTTTTCTCAAATTGCTTACATCCACGCAGTTCATCTCCAGGGCGAGTTCTCTGGTAAGTGAGATTACTGTAAGATTCATTACATTGTTTGGATTCTAAGACGTTCTCTGTAGCAGGAGTGCTCTCAAGTGTCTGAAAGGACTCAGAATAAGTGAAATCTTTCCAATATTTTTCACGTTTAATAGCCTTCTCCATGTGTTCCTGACACCCATCTGGTTTCTCCTCAGTTTGACTTCTAATGAGCAGAGCGGAGGACAAGTGACCATTGACATCTTTTACATCCATCCTGCTGCTTCCATAAACGGCACTTGCAGAATAACTGTCCACATTAACAATATTCTCTGGCGTCTCCTGGTGGGGTTTTCCACACTGAATACCATATTCATAATCACAGAATTGCTCAGTGACCTGAATTCTGAAAAAAAGGGGGGCATTATTCCTGTTTTATAACTAGGTAAGTACTAAATGATGGATTTTGTGGTCTCTGCCTGTTAGTGCAGCATTCAGAAGGCAGTGGCAGGAAGTGAACATGCTGAGGGCAAACTAGGCCACAGAGAAAGACCCTGTCCTGAGAAGGAAACAAATGTACTGAGTGTATTTCCATTAGAACTTATGAACATAAAAGAACTGAGCATTCAGCAAGGACAGCATGTAACTACAAAAGTTCTGTAGTGCCGTTTTGATAAACATTGTCTATGACACTGCTACCAAAGCTGAATATTCATAATACAATATAATGCGAATCAGACATTCTCAAATTTTAAATAGCTGAATATCCTTCAGGCAATTAATCGAAAATGGGTCTCAGCCTAAATCCCAAACTCACCTTTTGTTCACACACAAACACTGTAAGGTCCAAAAGTAACTTGCTAAAAATACATCAAATATTTTTGAAGACAACAGGCAGTTTTACGTAAGGAACCACTAGAAAATGTCTTAGCTAAAGGCTACACCACATGGTTTTACTGCTCCTTCAATAGTGCAGTGTAGGCCTCAAAATCTCAAGGAGTACTACATTACAGTATTCATCCATTTATGAATTCTGCAGCTTGGAGAAGTTTTACAGAAAATTTGAGATTAAATCAATTTACATTTTGATAGATTAGGATGGCTTCCTTATTTCTCAGATTCTCTCTCTCAAATATCTGATGCAAATTCCCTTTTCTGTAAGTGTAAATTACCTCAGATTTCTCTGGAGTTTGTCATAGTCCACATCAATATTTTCTTCCACTATTCTCCCTAAAAATTAAAAAAGCAAGAAATCATTATGTTATTCAACCTAACTTTCCAGCTCTTTCTCTTACATAGTATGACCAGGCATGCTATATTTACTGGCATATTCCCTTTCAATATTTCAAGCCATATAACAGTTTTTCTCCAATTGAATAAGGAAAAAAAAATGATACTGTTTTGTTGTTGTTACCTATGGAGATCAGGTTCATAAATGTCTCCTTCATCACATCTCTGTAGAGCTTCTTCTGACTGGAATCCAACAAAGCCCACTCTCCTGAGGTGAAGTTCACAACCACATCATCAAAGCTCACTGGCTCCTAAAATAATTCACAGCATTATTAAAATGCATTTATTAGAAGAAAGATTTAAAAAAAAAAAACACTGGAGATACATTAGTTACTTGGTAAGTTCCCTCCATGCTTTCTTAATATATTCACTTTATATCATGGCTAGCACAAACTTATTAATTAACCTCTCATCTTGTCTCACAGTTCTAAGGGGAGTGTATGCCTATATAATAAAGGAAATATAGATGACAGTGTTTTGTTGTGATGCTCTTTCAATTACTCTTTGTTCCATACACCACAAGTTTCAACAACTTAGAACCCTCAGTGAACATCAGCTCAGCTGCGCATGTACAGTTATAAATGTCTGTTAGATAATTCATCCACTTCTAAAGCCAGGGGATTTCACACAAAATGGGTGTAACAAGCTTAACTATAAGGAGGTGCTAACTGCTGCTCAGCAGTTTATGACAACATAAAATAGTATTCTGTAAGTTATTATCATTGCCATTCTTAGCATATTTCTTAAATACTGAAACATAGTATTTATAAAATCAAAACCTGAAAGTGTACATGAAAAAATTTCTTCTCACTAGTCTCACAGGTAATAGGAAACATCCTGACTAATTTTCTTACCTAGAGGTCACTGAGAGCATCCATTCATGATGTTCTCATTATGAGTGGCATCATTGGGAAGACTGCTTTTAGAAAAGTTTCTTATAAAAGAAACACAAAGTTTCTTATTTCAAAACAGGTAGTTTCTCATAGACCAACCTTGACTTAACACTAAATAAGACAAAGGGCAATTCTCTGTGCTCAAATATAAACACTACATATTATTTTTAATAATGTCAATGGACAATGACACCATAGGAGCAATGGTACTGTTCTTAGGAAGCAATTAATATCACAAAACATATGCTAGTATGGCTTCATCAAATTCTGTAATTCCCACAAAACTTTTACATTAACAAGAATTACTTACCAAAATCTGTATGCAGTAATAAATGTTTGGTACCATAAAGGTATTAGGAATAAGAAAATGATAGCAAGACCGAGACATGGAGGCACATACCTATATTACCAGATTTACAAGGAGGAGGAAGGAGGATCTTGAATTCAAAGCCTGTCTAGACTAGATAACAAAACCAAGAATAAAAAAGAATCTGAGATAGACTTTGGAAATGCATTACTAAGGGAACTACACCATAAAGACAAGACGAACAGAACAGAGGAGAGTACCATAGACTTTAGCAACATGAAATAGAAACAGAAAACTCTAACAAGAGAGGAGATCTTGACCAGCAGTGACTCTGCTTGCTGTATACAGTGGTAACAACTTGGAATCTACTTGGAAGCGTGTGCTATAATCTTCTCTATTCCATGGACAACAATCAAGTTTCATAAGAAATGGGGAAGATGAAAATAGAAGCCTGTGGTGGATGCAGTAGTTTCAAGGTAATTACAAAATAGTGAGGCTGACAGACAGAAAGGACAATGAAATGTATTCTAGACTTTGTGTATAACCAGCTTCATGCCACCCTTGTCTCATAGCTAGACTTTGTCTAAAAAAAAAAAATTCTTTTTAAAAGATGAAAAAAAAAAAACAAAAAACCCAACCCCCTCAGCACTTTGAAAGTTACCTTACAACCTTTGGATGTAAACAATGAACTTCCTTTTGCAAGAGGGGGGAATGTTATTTCTATAGAATGTATGAAAATACAATACACAAAAAGGAAGGCAAGTGAAAGGCAATAATACAACAGTATCTGCAGTACATGTAATGTGCAAACACATGAATAAGTGAACACATGGCTTAAAATATCCACTGAAAACAAAACAGAGGAAATAAGAACCGTAGCCTTGAGTGAGGAATTTGTCAAATCACTGTGTAGTTTTGAGAACCATTGTTCTCAAATACCAATAGTTTCATTGTGAACAAAGGATCACCCATTTCATACCACTCCCATTTCCTACGCTAGAAATGAAGGTGTATTCTAACCAGCCAAAGCTCGGCAAACATGGGTCTGCAAGGCCTTGCTCTTCTGCCCCATTCCCTTTGTCAGGTTAAAAACCATTTGGTTACACTCCTGAAGCCAGCCACCAAGTTCTGTTCCCTTATTTGCCCACTTCCTCCTCCTGAGTCTGACTGCAAAGGTCCAGCTATTAATGTATTGTCATTCAGCAATCAAAAGCCCCCTTTGGCTCACCTAATTAATATGCCCAATCAAAACTAAACATCCCATCCTAACATGGGATCTCCCATTTAGCTTTATAAACTGCAATCTGCCTATGGCCATGTCTGTCTCCTCTCTATTGAGAGGCAGTTCTTTGTCCTCTGAGACTATTGTAAAGAATATTAGTTAAAGATGTACTACATTCATTCATGCTGTACAATATTTGTTTAATGACACAAAGATGTATTGCATTCTTTTTTAAATTTTCATTTAAATTAAAAATAATCTTATTTTACATACCAATCCCAGTTCCCTCTCCCTCCTGCCCTCCCATTCCTCCTGACCAAACCCCCACCCCACACCCCATCCATGCCTCAGGAAGAGTGAGGCCTCCCATAGGGGATCATCAAAAATCTGTCACATCATTTGGGGCAGGGCTTAGGCCCTCCCTCATGTATCTAGACTGAGAGAATTTCCCTCCATAGGGAATGGGCTCCCAATGTCCATTCATGCACTAGGGATAAATACTGCTTCTACTGCCAGAGGGCCCATAGACTGCCAGGAACTCCCAACTGACACCCACATTCAGGAGCCTGGTTCAGTCTTATGCTAGTTCCCCACAGCTGTCAGACTGGGTTCCGTGAGCTCCCACTTGCTCAGGTCAGCTGTTTCTGTGGGTTTCCCCAGACTTAGCTGTGAATCTGTTTCCGCTTCTATCAGCTACTGGATGAAGGCTCTAGGATGACATGTAAGGTAGTCATCAATCTCATTATAGGGGAAGGCCATTAAAGGTAAACTCTACTAATCTTAGATTCTTAGTTGGGGTCATCCTTTGGATCCCTGGAGATTTCCCTAGTGCCAGGTTTCTCATTAAGCTCATAACTGTTCCTTCTATTAAGGTTCTCTTTCCTTGCTCTCCTCTGTTCTTCCCCTAACTCAACCTTCCTGAACTCTCATGTTCTCCTCCCTCCTTCTCTCCCCACCCCCCATGCTCCCAATTTACTCAGGAGTTCTTGTCCCTTTCCCCTTCTCGGGGGACCATGTATGTCTCTCTTAGGATCTTCCATGCTCACTCATAAGTGGATATTAGACATAGAGCAAAGGATAACCAGCCTACAGTCCACAAGCCCAGAGAAGCTAGATATGTTACATGTTACATTTGTTTAATTCTGTGAAGCTGTGTTACTTTGCCTGTCTAAAACACCTGATTGGTCTAATAAAGAGCTGAATGGCCAATAGAAAGGTAGGAGAAAGGTTGGTAGGGCTTGGCAGGCAGAGAGAATAAACAGGAAGAGAAATCTGGGAAGAGAGATTGGGGAGAGAGAAAAAGGAAAAGGAGAGGAGGGCATCAGGGGCCTTCCACCCAGCTACACAGCAAGCCATGGAGTAAGAAGTAAGAGAAGGTATACAGAAATGAAAAAAGGTAAAAGCCCAGAGGCATAAGAAAATTTAAGAAAAGCAGGCTAAAGTAAGCCAAGCTAAGTCTGGGCATTTATAAGAAAGAATAAGCCACCATGTATTTGAGAGCTGGGTGGTGGGGCCACCAAAGAGTAAAAAATAAAAACAACCAACAACACTGGGACAAATACCCCTGCCTCCTCTCCCTTGTTTCTTTCCCTTCTCCCTCATTCTCTATACCTTGTCTTTGTCTCTTACTCCCTGTCCTTTGTCTCTCTGGGGCAAATAAATCTTCTTGGTGTTGAGAACTTGGTCTTGAGCCAATTCAGATCCTTTCAATAAACCTTAATGCAATATATATCCCGTCACATTTCTCTAATAACAGAGAAGGTATTTTGTGTTTATACTTAGTATCATGAGTACTATTTTTTTAAACATCTCTAGAGTTATGTTGAAAATGTCCTAACAACATGTCAACTAACTCAAATTGGGAGATAAACTAATCATAACCTCAGGCATTAGCACATGTGAGTCATGCCAAAGAAAAGAAGATAGGATGCTTTTGATTATAATCCCATGGGGTGGGTTTTTTTTGTTACAACTAAATAGGAATTATAAACAGGCAAGAAGGTCTTTAACCACTTGTCTTTGGCATTCTTCCATCCCTGGTGGTTGGTGTCAAGGAGTGGCGGCAGTAGTCAGGTGGCAGTAACACAGGCGTCACCCTCAAGTGCGGCAGGACTCGAGTGTCAGGACTTTTGCTGGGCATCTTTTCAAGTTCTACTGTGGGTTCAGGAAGCTGGAATTCCTCAACCCAAGGACCTAAACACTTGCTTCCTCTCTGGACCTCTTCCTCCAACTGTATGTAGCTTTAAGGTTTTTGTTTTGTTTTTTATCTACCCCCTGTGGTGTGTCATAAAATCTTGAAGCATCTTCAGTTTCAGTTCTCTACCCTTCTTTCCATCACCCTACATTTGTGGTGTTTTTCTTGCCCCAGCTGCTGCTACAATCAAAATTACTCAGCTACTGAATTCTA